CAGTTACATAATTATTTGAAAAATATTTTTCTGTAAAGCTAATTAACTAATTAGCTAAGTAAATATTTTTCTGTGAAGCTAACTCACTAGATGAACATATCAATGGGACTAAAAGAAAGAGCTGCATCTTTCACTTACTTTCTAATAACTTGATGAGTCCAACAAAGAGTTTAAAACGTTTTAATAAAGATGTTTACACTTGTTGGCATGTTAGGACTTTAATAAAATCATAGAAAACTCAATTAACCTAATTAAGAAAAATATTCCCAATTACTTATGCAACTTACATTTTCCTGAGTAAGATTACTGGTTGCTCTAAGGCCCTCATCATGGATGTGATTTTGCAGCTCCTGAATCATATGAGGTAAACCAGTGGACACAGCACGAAGTAAGACATACATATTTGCCATGTCTGAGGGAGGAAAAGAAATTCAATCATTAAATTTCAAAATAGCACAAAAAATGTTTTAATATATGTTTCAAAATTAGAAGAGTATACAGAGAAAGTCTCTCACACTCATCTCCCAACTACCCAATCTTCCCTGACATGGTAAAGCAACATTGTTATTTATTTTCAAAGATATTTCATGCATATTCAAACAAATAAAAAAATTTCTTACTCTACTCCTTTTATATATGGTATAGCATACTATATGTATGACTTAAAAATGCAAAACACAACACTTTTACTTAAATATATTTTTTCATCATATGAGCATTTTCTCATATTTTATATTTACATAGCACTCCATTATATGGTTATAGTAAAGTTTCTGAATAATTGATGAAAATTTTGCGGTTTCCAATTTTTGATGTTACAATTAATAGTCATGTATATAGGCTAGAATATCTGTAGTAAAAATCCCTAGAAGTGGGACCACAGTGTCAAAAACTTAAATCTTACAGATAGATCCTTCTAAACTGTATGCTCAATCCTGCTAATAACAGGAAAGCAAATAATCTGATATTTGCCATTTATATATGAAAATGACATCTCAGTAAAATGGTTTTTATTTTAAATTTTCTATTTCTTGCAAATTTTACATTTTGGATATAAACATTTTCCAGTTATTGCAAATATATTATCCTATGACTATTTCTTGATGATAAGTCTTATTAAATAATCCAAAGTTTCTGTTTTTAATGTAGTCTATTTGACAAGCCTTACCTTTGTGGTTACTGCTTTTGTATCTTATTTAAAATACCTTTATCTAAAGGTCATGAAGTTATTCCACACTGTCATCTAGAAATGTCAACTGCTTTTCACTTTGATCAAGTCTTCAGAGACTAAATGATTTTCTTATTGGTATTTTATTGGTACAAATCAAATTTTTCCCAAACTCTCATCCAGTGGGCTTAGCACTATGTGTTGAAAAGACTATCTTTCATCCACTGTTCTCAGTGCTACCTTGATCTTAAATCATGTACCTAGGTATATATCAGTTATTTCTAGGCTATTTTATTCTACTGCTCTATCTGCCTATCCTTGCATCAATGTCTCATTGTACTTAATACTACAGCTTGGTAAGTTATGCTATCCTGCAAGTCTTTCCATCCCGTTCTTCAAAATTGTCTTGACTTTTCTAAGTACAATTTTCGCAAGAAGAAAAAACTTGGATTTTGTGTATATTGCCTTGGATATGCAAGTCAATGTTGTTTTCAACACTGCTTTCTGTGTAACTCTGGAACATACTTCTAATGATTATTCCCTACTACTTGAACAATCTTAGCAATATTTTCTCTTTTTCTAAAAAAATTCTACTTTTTCTATGCACATTATACCATTTCATTGTAGTCTCATTTTATATCCCTCCCATTTTGAATATTGAACATTTTCATATATTTTTATTTTCATTGCCTCTTTACCTGCTTTTTATTAGCAACTAACTGTATTTTTAAAATATTAGCCCTTAAGATATATAAAAGTGTACAAACACATTTTCCTAGTTTTTCTTTTAATTTGAAAAATATACTTTTCAGTTCTTTCAAAATAGATTACCAATATTCTATAAGAAGGCATATCAAATATTTTAGAACCTATTACTAAAATATGCTTGAAATGTAAAAGAGCCAGCAGATGAACTAAAAAGTGGACTTATAATTTCAACTCTACTTACATTTATGTCTGATTAACACTTACCATTTTTTTTCTCTTGCCGGATGATATTATGACATTCTGCATGTAAGAACTGTAAGTGGTCTGCTACCATTCGTTGCTGACATTCATGAATCACTTTAGTGTATGAACTTGGATTTAAATATTTTCGACATCGAATTTCTTCATCTTTTAACCTACCTAGAACCTTTGGAAATATATGTTTATGGTCATTAATTATTAAGAGGCAAATACCTATAATGTTAATAAATAATTCAGCTAACCTAATTTTAATGGCCCAATTAAGCACAGCCAGATAACAAATGAAAATTACATAATCAATTTAAAAACCCACATTCCATAAATTGCTTCAAATTTTTAAAGTACTATATATCGCCTATATTTTGCCACGTCTTATGGACAAGAACTTGTCCCTAAGTGGATTGCACTGTCTTCAATCACTGGCCCCATCAATCTATCATACAGCCTGCCTAATATGCAACAGGTAAACCAAGTAATAATTACAGAAAACTAGAACAGGTAGTCACTTTTGAACATTTAAATTGCAAACAAAAAATTTCTAGAAACTGGATCAAGTACATTAGTATAATAAAATAGGGTCCCCTTCTTATAAAATGTAAATGTAAACAGCTAAACATAACTATCACATTAGAGATTTCACTCAAATTGTTGAAAGTCAAAATAGTCCTATGGTACATAGGGTATACTATTTCACTCAGAAAGATTAAGCTAGGGAAAGAAAGAAAGAGAAGAAAAAAAGGAAATCTAGAATATTCTGAGGAATCTGATACATTGTCTGCAGAAAGCTACCTTTGTGCTTTCCCCCATCATCAATGACAACAATTACAGAAATGTGAGATAAAAATTTTATAAGCAGGATGTACCTTTTCTTCACTTAGAACTCACATCTACCTTTAGTATCCTATCTGATTCAAGCTAAATCTATCTCTTCAATAGCTATTCAATAATCGGTGAGTAAATATCAACAGCATACATTTAGAAATGTTTTCATTTCATTAACGATAACTAAATACTTTTTGTTTCCTTTAACTATCTGCCAGGTGGTAGATTAAAATAAAAAAAGGGATTTATTTGAGTCAATATCAATCAAGATATACTGTAAAAGCTTATCCTGTATAAAAAGCACTGAGCTACAAATAATAACTGGTTAATAAAAATCAGCCAATTAAAAAAAAATAAAACAGAGAACTTGGCTAATTTCTCCCTAAAAACAAAACTAAATTTGGATTGAAAATCTAGAGGGCAAAAAGCACATGCAAATACAAATGTTTATACTTTAAAATCATTCTGAAATGTGAAACTATGTAACCAGATTTCTGAACTTCACTAGTATCAGAGAATTAAGAACATTTCAGTATTTGGGGAGTATTGTAGGGTTTGCCTGGGCATAAGATGATGTTCTTAAAAGTGGAAATAATATGTCATTCCCAGAAACCTCTCATATCTTTCCATTTATTTTCTTATATCTTCGCTAACTTTTGGATAGCATTTGATTTATAACCTCAGTTGTCATTCCAGTGGCACTATAGCATTCATGATCCATCACTGTGGTCCCTTGTGCTCTTCCTTCCCCTCTTTTGATTTCTCTCCTCCCCTGCTGTTTGCCTCAGACTTATGATCAGCTCTTAAGTTTTGTCTTTTTTCCTGTCCCTGTTTTTGGCTTCTCTAGATTCCACATATAAGAGAAACCATCTGACATTTCTCTTTCTCCTTCTAGGTCACATCACTTAGAAGAATCTCTTTCTCTCTCTCTCTCTTGCGCTCTCTCTCTCTTGCGCTCTCTCTCTCTCTCTCTCTCTCTCTCTCTATTTTCTTGATCTACTCATTTGTTCTGGGGCAACTTAGGTTGTTGCAATAACAAATAATGCAGGTTTACTTTTGTGTTAGTGTTTTTGTGTCCTTTGGGTAGATTCCTGAGAATGGAATTACTGGGCCATATGGTAGATTCATTTTTAGTGTTCTGAGGAACCTCCATACAGCTTTCTACAGCTACTGGATCCATCTACTAGTCATTTATAGCACACTGTAAGTGACTTTAACCTGCTTATGGACTAATTAAATGCAGAAAATAAGAGCACAGGTCTGAGAGAAATGACAGGGAATAAAGATAATTGGTTGGGGGGCTCTGGGACATTCAAAAGAAAGGTAAGTTTGGAGTGCCTCAATGAAAGATTTCATATAGCTGCTGACTCACTGTACCTGATAGAAAAAATCAAATTAGAGGAAAGATCTAGAAAGGGAAGTAGGAAAGCTATATTAGTCTGTTAATTACATAGTTGTCCTTCTAGCAGTTTGATGTAATTTACATATTACATGACTTAGCCACTTAATGGCTTTTGATATATTATTACTGTTTTTTTTAAATTATGGTAAAAGACACGACATAAAATTTGTTATTTTAACCATTTAAGTCTATAATGCACATTGTACAACTATTTAGTTCCAAACTTTTTCATCATGCTAAATGCAAATGTGAACATTAAGCTATCTACTTTCCAGTCTTGCCTGCCAGTAATTTCTAATCTACTTTTTAGCTATTTGGATATGCCTTTTCTGATATTTCATATAATTGGAACCACACAAAATTTGTTCTTGAGTGTCTGGTTATTTCCCCTAGTATGTGTTCAGGTTCATTCTTGTTAAGCATATATCAGAACTTTATTCCTTTTTAAGACTGAGTATTATTCCACCATATGAATATACATTATGCTTATCTTTTCTACTACTAGTAGGCATTTGGGTTGTTTCCACTGTTGCCAATGTGTCTCCTGAAAGCCAGAAATAAGGAAGAATATATGTATATTGATCTGCTGAATGTACTTTTCAGGACTGGATCTAGAATCTTTAACAAGAATCTATGATGCAAAAAAGTGCTCAAAGCTAGGCATTGACTTAGTGCAACCTGCACTTAACAGATTGAGAAAACTGACCTACATTCACAACTCATCAGTGACAAAGCAGGAAGAGAATCAAATAAGTCAGAACTGGGCTTTATGGAATACACAAGTATTAATAAGCATTGGTATTTCTTAACCTAAATTCTATGAAAGCCAATCATCTCATAACAAAAAACTAGGAATCCAACACTGCAGATGGGGAAAAAAAAAAAAAAACAGTTGAAATTTCTAACATATCTTTTATGATGACTGAATTCATGACAATTTTTTACTGAGAAAATGTACATGGAATTTAAAATATGGCAATCAATCTGTGTTAGTTTAACGACTAGCTAAAATTCCCGTGGAGATTTTTATCAATCTTCTAAAATCTTCAACAGACTAGAAGAGTGATTAATCCAAATGTCTAGAATTATAGTTTTCTTTTCTCCTACACCTTCTATATGCAAGGAAGGAAAATAAAAACCCAATTACCTAACTTTTACATTTATCCAATTCTCTAAACATACCTACTAGGCAAAATTTATAGTTTATTATTTTTCAAAGAATATAAATATATATTAATTTTAAAGACAACCAGAATTTTTCATAAAGCAATAGCTATGATAAAAATTGGTACAGCACTTTTTCCATAAAATATATTAAGAAAACATATATATTAAGAAAACAAATTTTACATGTTTTCATTCTTACCTTTTCCATATACTGTGAGCAGTTTGATTCTTGTAATAAATTTGAAGCTTCTTGCTTGTAATACTCTCCTGTTTCAGTCAGAAAAGGAGACTCAAAGATTTCCTGATAAAACTAAACAAATCAATTAAAAACACATTTTAAAAACTAGAACAAATAATTTAAGAAATTAAAGGTCTGCTTATTTACATTTTTAAAGGAAGTTTTTTTTACCTTTAAAGGGAATTTTTTCTTATACTGTTCAACATGAACAAAGGAGTTAATAACCCCATGGATTACTTTCTGGTTTGGGTCTTCTCCACCACGATCACTAAAACAAGGTATAACACAAAATATTCTTGAGCATACAAATTATTTATGGAAATACAGCAAAATATGGCTGCTTATTCAATTGTATTATGAAGCATTTATATTACGTATAGAGCAATTAAAGGTCAATGCATATGATGCCTAGAAATAATTTTTCATACACAGCTGAAATATTTTTATAAATAAAACATACTATAACGATATACTAAGTTGACAGTTCTTTGATTTTAGAGTACATGGGAGTCCATGCATTCAAGACTTTGAAACTGGAGGCTTACGAATATTTGAGTTGCACTTACTATATTATATTATTAGAGGATATGGCCTGATAATTCAGTATTTGAACCCATTACAAGTATCCCTGCAGAAATTTGATGGTATGCAGTTCTCAAAGGTATACTCTATATAATGCATCACTCACTGAAATGACAAACAGTTAACTGTTCTCTCTTTTAGAGACCTACCAGAGCCCCTAAGTTGTTTCCCATTCAAACACAAGCTATTTCTCCATTTCAAAATTTAGTGAGATATGTTTTAATATGTCTACATTTCTTTACTAGTTGCAAAGAGATTTAAAATCATTTCAAATATTCATTGATAGTAGATTAAGTTCCAACTTAGCCAAAGGTAGTACTGTGATGCAAATTTCAATCAAAATGAAAAATGTAGGTGAGCATCAGCTTTTCTACTTACAGAAATAGAAAAAAGAAAGGGAAAAAAATGGTTTGCCTAAGGCCAAATAAAATAGCCTGGCCTAAAATGGGACTTTTTGACTCCAGGATTAATATTCAATCCAAACCATTATGCACTCAAAGATTTTACTACCTTTTTACTAACAATCTCCTACATGTTGCTTCAAAATATATTTTCTTTGAATAATTATTTTACAAAGACAGCAACAAAAAAAAAAACTACCATTCCCTAGTAAAAGCTGCTTGTTTTCTATACTAGAATATAAAGATTTTCTACATTAAGAAAAATAGTGAGGCAATTACCTTTGTAAATTAGTGTCCCTCCCTGCCTCTGCATCCCTCTAATCCTCTTTCATTCTTCCTTTAATTACCTGGATATCCTGGGGAAAGTTTTTTGTACATGAATTAATATGGCTAGAGTAATTCTGTCAGACACAGAATCTTAGATACGTCTACATTTTGACATTAGTAAGATAGCTCATTTCCTCAGTTTACCTTCCATTAGTTCCTATATAAACTCACATTAAATCTAGCAAAATAATTATGTAACCTATTGAAAAACATCAGTCTTTCAACTTTACGCAGAACCAAATGAAACCAGTCAAGAATGAGAAAACTGAAATACTTGGAAAATCAAGTAATGTAAAATTCTTTTCATGATCAAATCCTATTGTTTCTGCTCAGTGCCAGGAATACTTCTTTTATTCTCAGTGTTATTGTCACTTGTCTTTCATCCCAAAAATCCCAGATAAAGCTGGAATCAAATAACTGCTTAAAAAAAAAATCAGTGATATTCCTAGTGCTAAATAATTAAACTGTTTTTCCTATAAAAATTACATATAAACTCAGAAAACTATAAGGCATTAATTATTTAATCTGAACAAAAAGTACTATATAAAATTATCACAAATACAGTGCATTTCTATTATACTAATATATAATGAAAATAAACAGGGAAATGATGGTATGTTAATGTAATGCAGAAGTTAGTAATACAAAAGCACTAAGTTGGTGAACTCTAGTCTCATCTTAAAAACAGTGGTTCCAAAAGATGAGCTCTGAAGAAGGAATATTAACCATTTTTAGAAACATGTTTTATTACTGATTTGGCAGAACTAGTGGAAAATTCGTACAATAATCATAATGAAATCATGTTAAAAAACCTACTCAGCTGGGATAAGGGGTACTGACAGGAAGAGTTAAACATAGTCCTAAAAGTAGGATTCTGTAGTCACATGGCATGGGCTTGCGTTCTGGTTGTGTCACCTAACATACAAGTTTATTTATCTCAGTACACAAGAAATTTCTTCTATGTAAAGAAAGGATTATAAAAATACCCACACCTTATAAGGATGTGGTACACTAAGGCTAATCCAAGAAAGCATTAGCACAGTTCCTGGTTAATGAGTAAAGTATGACTAAATATTAGCTAGTATTGAAGGTACTGAAAGAAGCAAAAATGAAGCATTTTCATATTTTAAAGAGAACAGTATTAAGAGATCCAAACAGTACTGTGATTTTCTTAAATGAAGGATTAGAACTGAGTAACTTAAGCAGAAGCAGCCTGAGATGGTCATTAAATGTTAGTCTGGAACTCTGAGAAAGTCCTGATACTGATATGGGACAGTAGGCAAATTAATCACTTAATGAAACCTTCATTTACCTCTATATTTAAAATGAGAACAGGGTGTCAGTAAACCAAATGCAACTTCCTACACCAACTCTAAATCCAAGAAATAACAGGACATTGCACTCTATTGTTGACAGTAGCCTTTAGCCTTGAAGAAATTTTGAAAAATACAGACACTACTGATCGATAGCATAGAAAAATAAATTTACAGGAAGTATTACAAGGAGAGGTAGGAAAAAGCAGAGGAATTAAGAATTAGCATACACTTAAAGCTGGATGTACATAAGATTAACAAAACCAGCTAAATAATCAGGACAGCTGGTTATAAGCGGCACCTCTGTATGTCCCCCTAGAGCAGAAAGTGTGGTATCTGAGAGAAGGTGGTAGCCCAGGTGGATGTAAAACCTCTGCACCTAGATGACTCTTACAGGACTCACTTGAGAGTAACTCCTAGGCTCCCCCACTACCAACTCTTAAAGTGGGGAACCAAGGAAATGTTTCCCTCAGATTGTCAAGATTTCAAATTATGAAGTGTTGGTGAATAATAGAGAAACAGGTAGCTGTACTCTACTTATGGAAGTATAGATATTAAGGCAAACAGACAAAATTCTAAAAGCATGTACTCTATAACATGCACACAATTTGAAGCACATATGGAAAAATTGGAAACCTAATACATCTCACCAAAGAGTTTAATGAGGTAAAACCACATGATATATTGTTAAGCAATCTATAAATGAGGCATAATAGAAAAACCACAATATATAATTGAATAAAAAAGTTATTAAGTATAATTATCACATGATTTTTAAGTTAGAAAAAAACATCAAATACTTAAAGAAAGCAAGACAATGTTCTGTATTTTATTTGTAAACATATTTAAAAGTTCATAGGTAAAGGTTCAGAAAGACAATTAACCAAATTATCACAGGGATTATCTCCAGGGAGGAGACGACTAAGGAAAGGATCTATAAGATTGAAATCTTTTTAAAGATGCATTTATGTCTATTTAGACATTTATGCATTTGTCTATTTAGAACTAAGTATTTTATTGAGTAATAGATTACCAGACATGGGAAGGCAGGACAGAGGTTATTTTTGGAGAAAAGGAAAGGATAGAACATGCAAGGTTTTCAAGATGGATGGCATGATTCTATTTCTTTGGTAATAACAAGAGCATTCACCTTATAATGATTCATTAAGGTGTACTGTATAATTTTCTGTATCTACACTTTATTTTACAAGAAAAATTTTAATACTCACATATAGGCAAGCAAACCCAAAGACAAAAATGCTCAAAGTAAACCAGTTTATATATTCATATGTGATAAACAGAAAAAAAGACCAATAAAGTTACTATATAACATTTAAAATAATTAACCATAAAGAGAATAATCCTGATATTTATTCACTAACAGGAGCTCAAAATAGACTATCAATTAAAAAAAATCAATACATTTAAAAATGAGCTGGGAAATTTTAAGACATCTTTCAAAAACATTTAAAAAATATCTACCTAATCTTTTATCTATTATTTTATTTTTCCTAAATAAAATTTCTAATGTCTTAATGATGTAGAAACAGAATAGCAAATATGAATATATTAGTCATGGGAGCTTATAGCACATATTCAACAGATAGTTCTAATTAAAAGGGGAAGAACTTCATTTTAACTTTTATTTTTTTCAAAGAACACAGAAGAACGTTCACAGTAGAACACAGTAGAACGTTCATAGCAGTCATGGGAGACAGGCGATTTGGAGCAGTTTTTACTCCATCTAGCATTAAATAGTTTGCAAAAAGTATTCTTACGCATTCAAACAATTCCACTGATATACAATTTTTAAATATGCTTTCTTCTTATAATTTCATATCCATTTTTAATTTTAGCATAAACATTTTTGCAGAAAATTTAGATTGCAATCCAAATAACTGTTTTTAATTATTTGGATATTCTTGCCATTTTATATATCATTAAAGATATTAAAATTCTTACTAACATACAGACTGATGAAGTCATAGTATTTTATTAGCATTTAGAATTCTATCACATAATATAAAAGACTGATAAACACTTATATGAATAGAATTACTTCTATATTTCTAGTGAAGTAAACACTGAAAAATCACAGACATTTAACTTATAGTTATATTGCTTGCCTTTTCTCCCCTATATAAGAAGAGCACGCTTATGTTTGGATTATCAATAGATTTTCATATATACAGATTTCATGATAACCATGAAAAAAGGTAAAAGAATGGTTGCTTCACTGGTTCTCTTAACCAAAACTTTCTGCAACTTTACATTACAATTTCAATTCTAGTACTTCTGTGAAACAGTTTTCAACATAAATGAAACTGGTATTAGCTTGATAACATTTATATACCTTAAGAGAGGGCACTTACAAGTATCTTAAAAGCAGAAGAAGCATGGTCATTAACCCAAACTCATACCAGACATCAAGATTTATTAAACTGTAACAATAAACAGTGAGATACAGGTTACAAGGATTCACTAACAAATGAAACAGAAAGGAGGCCTACAATGAAACCACAATTTAAGAAATGCATCCAAAGAAGAGATTATGTCAGAATGATGGGAAAAGTAGGAAGGGTTTTATCTATTTTTAAATAAAGCTGTGAAGTCACAAGTGTTTTTCTTTTGTCACTTGACATTTG